TTCACTTGGGGCTGGTGTTGGGGCGTATGCGGCAAAGCCACCACCTGCAAGTACCAGCATCCCATGTGGGTGCCAGTTTGGGTTCAGCTGCTCCACTTCCCATCCAGCTCTCTGCTGTGGCCTGGGAAAGCAGTGGAAGATGGCCCAAGACCCAGAAGAAGCTCCAGGCTCCTGGCTTCGGATCATCCCAGCTCTGGTCATTGTGGCCATTTAGGGAGTGAACCAGCAATGGAAGACCTCTCTCTCTCTCTCTCTGCCTCTCTGTAACTTTGCCTTTCAAAATAAATAAATAAATCTTTAAAAAATACATTCACTTAATTTGTCAATTTTATTTGTGTAACATTGTTCACAACAGGCACTCACTGCTTCTTTAATATCTATAGAATGTCTTGTGTAGTAATAAATTCTAGTTTATTTATTGTTAATTTTGTGTCTTCTCTGTTTTATTCCTGATAAGTCTGACTGATCATTTACCAGTTTTACTGATATCCTCAAAGGATAAGCCCTGACTGTCATTGACTTTGTCTATTATTTCACTGTTTTTTATTTCACTATTTTCCTCTCTGGTCTGTATTATTTCCTGTCTTCAGTTTGTCTTGTGTTCCTCTTCTTTTATTGGCTCCTTTTTTAGAAGATTTATGTATTTGAAAGGCAGAGTAAAAGAGAGGCGGGGGGGGGGGGGAGAGGGAGAAGGGGAGGGAGAGGGGGAGGGAAAAGGGGAGGGAGGGGGGAGGGAAAAGGGGAGGGAGAAGGGAGGGAGAGAGAAAGAGAAAAAAAAAAAAATCTTCCATCCACAGGTTCACTCTCCAAACAGCCACAACAGCCAAGGCCATTTGGGACGCAGTGTCCTAGGAGGTGACTTAACCTCCTGTGCACAGTGCTGGCTGTGGTTTCTCAAGGTGAAAGCTGAGGTCATTGGTGGGATACCTTTCTTTCCTAACATAGATATTCAGTGCTATGAGGTCCTCCCTCCACAACTGCTTTAGTGGCGTCCCGCAAATTCTAAAAGGGAGTACTTCCAATCTTCCTCTTGGCTCTGTCCCCTTTCATCTTTTCAGTGTGCTTTCCCTGCCCTCAGGTGAGTTCTCTACCTGCTTGTGCTCATCCCTGCTCTGCTGTGTGCCTGAGAAGGACCCTCTGATGCTCTCCACATTTCTCTCTGTGCAAAGCCCGCCTCCCTGCTTCTCTGCCCTGTGAACTCTGCTCTCTGTACGTGCTCTTAACTCGCTTATATCTGCACAATTCAGGGAGCTGTGTGCCGACTGGGTTCTCTCTATCTGAGCCATACCATCGATCTATGATAACTGTCTTAAAAACGATTGCTACTTATATATATATATATATATATATTTAACATTTATTTATTTGAAAGTCAGAGTTACACAGAGAAGGAGAGGCAGAGAGAGAGAGAGAGAGAGAGAGAGAGAGAGAAAGATCTTCTACCTGCTGGTTCACTCCTCAGATGACCGAAAGGGCCAGAGCTGTGCTGACCTGAAGCCAGGAGCCAGCAGCTTCTTCTGGGTCTCCCACGCAGGGAAGGGGGAAACCAAAGGGAACTTGGGCCCTTCTTTTTGCTGGCTTTCCCCAGGGTAATAGCAGAAGAGCCTGGAATGGAAAGTGGAGCAGCCGGGACTCGAACTGGCACCCATATGGGATGCGGGCACTGCAGGTGGTGGCCTAACCCACTATGCCACAGTGCCAGCCCCTTGTGTATGGGTTGTGATGTAAAAGGCATCTTGTAACATGGACGATGGTCAGGTTGTTACAGAAACACTGGACTAGGTGCATCATGGTTCAGTCCGGGGTGCAGCCTGCAGTCCATGCCTGCACTGAAGGGATCTGGGGGAAATGATTTCTATTTTATATTCCTATGCATATGCAAATTATATCCATATGCAAAGTGCTCATCTGCCACAAAGCTATGATCTGAGAATCCCCACAATGATCTTTGGGGAATACACAGTAGGCTTTGCAGCTGAGATTCATCTATGAGGGGCCAGCACTGTGGCGCAGCGGGTTAAAGCCCTGGCCTGCAGTGCCGGCATCCCACAAGGGCGCCGGTTCAAGTCCTGCCTGCTCCACTTCTGATCCAGCTCTCTGCTATGGCCTGGGAAAGCAGTAGAGGATGGCCCAAGTCCTTGGGCCCCTGCACCAGCGTGGGAGACCAGGGAAAGGCTCCTGGCTCCCAGCTTCGGATGGGTACAGCTCCGGCAGTTGCAGCCAGTTGGGGAGTGAACTAGTAGATGGAAGACCTCTCTCTCTCTCTCTTTCTCTCTCTCTCTTTGTTTGTGTCTCCTTCTCTTTCTGTATTTATTTCAAATAAATAAATAAAATCTTTAAAAAATAAAAAAATAAAAATAAAGACACTGGCCAGCCACATCAGGCTGCCCATTTGAGTCCATCAGCTTCTGATCCAGCTTCCTGCTAATGTGCCTGGGAAGGCAGCCAAAAATGACCCAAATGCTTGAGTCTCTGCCATCCACCTGGGAGACCCGGACTCTTGGCTTCTGTTTGGGCCAATGGTGTGTTTTCTGGCCATCTAGGGGAGTGAACCTGTGGATGGAAAATATCTCCGTCTCTCCTCTGTCATTTGCCTTTTAAACAATCAAATAAATATTTTAAAAAAATATTCATAGGCCTTAAAAAACAAAAAAGACCAAGTACCTACTGTGGACAAAGGAGTAGAGCAGGTAAGGGTGATTGGAAGCAGGACCACCAAACTTTTAGTGCGAGATATTCATCGGGATCCTTTAGGATATAAACATTAACAGGTATTCTATGCCCATCCTAATACAAATTCGGCCAACAGCCCAGCATCATTAACAATCTCTGGTCCACAGCTCACGCTGAAGGGGTCCATCCTCGTAGATGCTGCATCTACATCCCCCGGCCACTAGGGCGCAAAGGGGGCCCTTTCCGAGAAAAACAGGGCTGGGGGAACGACGTGGGGACCGCAACCACCCACACTCCCCTTCCCCGAGCGCCTCGCGTGGAAGACACCAGCAGCACAGGCGCAATGCTTATTGCGCGACCCGGCCAGGACAGACACCTTTGCCCTGTGGCCTCCCATCCGTGGCGATGGAGGCCGAGCGCGCTGCGGGGCTGAGGTTCGGCGCAGCCTTTCGGCGGCACCCAGGCGTGCCCAAGCCCAGAGACGACGCTGGGGCAGCCCCGCTCGCCTTGTCTTGCGGGGCCGGGGCCGGGGAGGGGGCTGCGGCGAGACTTCTGGGTGCTGCGAGCGCGAGAATTCTCGCGGTTACGCTCAGTGGCCCGGGATCCGCACCCCCCCCCCCCCCGCCCCCAGCTTTAGGTGACTTGTTCTGTGTTAAGGCGGTGCCAAAAGATCCGAGCACTCCCTGTCACTGTCAGTGTCTCGGGCCTTTCCAGCCCAGGCCTGTGCCGGCAGATCCGTGATCGCTCTAAACGTCTGGGAAGAGACCACCTGCGGTCGCCCTCTCGCGCGCTCTCTCTCTAGCGCGCGCGCGCGGGGACCCTGCTCGCCTTTCTCCCCGGCTGCAGCAGCAGCAGCAGCAGCAGCTGGACGAGGTCGGGCGAGCATCTCACGGGCAGAGGGTCCGAGCCGCGCACGCGTCGGGCGCCGCCGGCTGCGCATCGGGCGCCTGAGCGCGCCCCCAGCGCTGCGCCCGCCGCGACCGCGGCCGTGGGCTGGCGCTCTCTCCCCGCGCGGGGGCACCAGAGCCCTCGCTAGTGTCAGGCACTGCGGTGCATTTTTTTCCCAGTTCCCTTTTTTTAAATGACTGCGGAAAAAACGGAGTCTCCGAGCCGCAAATGGGAAGACGGATTCTCAAACCAGGTTTGCGAATGGCCCGCAACCATCCTTGAACTGCGCCCGCGGAGCAGTTACGGGTGGGCACCGACCCCGCCGGATCGCCTCACTTGTCCCTAGTGAGCCCCCGAGGCTCTGCCCGCACCGGGCTTCTCTGTAGCTGGATGCATACCGTGCTCCGAGCGGCGCGGGCGCAGGGCACGCGTTCGTGCACCCCCGCGCACACCCGCACACGCGCAAGGTACGGCAGGGGCGCGCGGGCTCGGGGTGCCCCGCGTGGGGGGTGGGTCTCGTGGGGGAGTGAAGCGACGGTCTGGGAATGGCTGCGGCCAGCCAGGTGGAAGCATGAGAGAACATGACGCGGCGCCAACGCATCGGACAGGCCGGCGTGGCTGCCGCGCAGTTACGGAGCCCAGCGCGCCACTCGCGTTCCCTACCTCTCACACGTCTCTCCCGAGCGTGTGGTGGCAGAAAACCCCAGGAGAAAGACCCCCCACTTAGGGAGCTCCGGTTGTGTTTGGAGACCACCCCACCTCCCCCTTCAAAAGCACCAAGGAGAAGACCTCATCCCCCCACTCCCTCCCCAAACAACCCATCCCCAAATAGGTGACCCGGAAGGGGGGGGGGCGCTGATCCTTGGCTCCCCGAGCAGAGCAGGTCCTGGCGTTGACAGCTGTGCATTCCGTGCTAGCGGAGCTCGCCGACCCTTTTTGGGTAGGGTGGGCAAAGGAGAACGCAGCAGGGTTGGAGAGTGGGGGATTCCAACAATAAGCATCAGCGCATTTTTTTTTAAATTTAATTTTATTTTTTCAGAGCGGAACCCAGCCCTGTCCCCCGTCTACAAATGGGAGACGGACGGCCTCTGTAGGAGGGTCGGGGACCCGGAGGCGTCGAACCGCGGCGCGGCGCGGCCCGCGCACGCGCGCGTCCCCACGGCAGGCTGTGCGCGCGTGTGTGCGCGCCTGTGCGGGCTCCCACCGGCTGCTTGCGCTCGGCTCCTGGCCGGCGGCGCCGGTGCCTCCCTCCCCGCGCCCGCCCCCAGATTCCCCTCCCTTCCCCGTGGCTTTTGTCTGGAGGGTGTGATGGGCTTGTGTGTGTATGAGCGTGTGTGTTTTTGGATTTCAGACTAATTTTCTGGAGTTTCTGCCCCTGCTCTGCGTCAGCCCTCACGTCACTTCGCCAGCAGTAGCAGAGGCGGCGGCGGCGGCGGCGGCGGCGGCGGCTCCCGGAATTGGGTTGGAGCAGGAGCCTCGCTCGCTCCCTGGCTCGCGGCGCTCGCGGCGCTCAGTCCCCCGGCGGCAGCGGGGAGCCTGGACCCTGGACCCGGGCGCCGCCGGCGGGCGTGAGGCGCCGGAGCCCCGGTGAGCAGCGCCTACACTCACTGCCCTCCCGTCGCCTCGGCCCTCGCCGCCCTCCCCGGGGCGGCCGCAGCTGCTGCCCAGGTGGGACGTGCCGCGCCACCTGCCCGCGCCCCCGCCCCGGCGCCCGGCAGCAGCCGCGACAGATTCTGCAGCATCATTCGGGGGGCCCCGTCGCGGAGCCATCGCTGCCAACAGTGGCCGCGTCCCCCCCCCACCCCCGCGAAAGGGTCCCCCACCATCCTCCTCCCCCCCAACCCGGCCTGTGCCATGGCATCTTGTCTCAGGGACCCTTTCCCCGCCTCTCGTCCCTTGGCCTCAGCATTGAGGGAAGAGAGGGTGGGCGTGTTGGCGGCCCCAGCGGCGTCCGTGCCATCCCCCCCCGGGGCAAGCCGATTCCCAGGCCAGAGCAGGGCGCTTCCCACCCCGTCCACAGTCTCGGGGCCGGGGTCGGGGTTGGGGTGCGGTGAGCGCGGAGGGAGAGTGCCCCAGCCCCCAGGGCGTGCGTGCGTGGGGCCCAGCTTACGCGCGTGTCTGTTTGTCCTCAGCCCCGGAGCGGCCCCGCGCGCGCCTAGCAAGGAGCCTGCGCCCGGAGACAATCCCCGGGAGCGCCGCCGGCCGGTGCCCCGCACGCCCCGGGCCATGCAGCGGCGGCCGCAGCGGAGCTCGGAGCGGCGGTAGCGCCCCCTGGGAAGCGGCCTGTGATGCCCCGGCCGCTGTGAACGGTGCTGCCCGCGCCAACACTTCCCGGAGCCCCGGCCACGCGGAGCCTCGGACACGCTCGACTCTGCGCGCCCGCAGCTGGCACCGAGGAATCCCGGAGAGCGGCGAGCGCGGGCAAGGCCTCCCCGCACGGGCGGCGGAGCGGGGAAGCCTGCCGCCGGTGCAGCTCGGGGACCCACACTTGGGCTTAACCCCCTAGGCGGCTGGGGATGTCGCTGTGGACGAGGTGGCATGGACCCACCATGGCGCGCCTCTGGAGCTTCTGCTGGTTGGCGCTGGGCTTGTGGAGGCCCGCTGTCGCCTGTCCCGCGTCTTGCACGTGCAGTGCCTCTCGGATCTGGTGCAGCGACCCTGTGCCCGGCCTCATGGCGTTTCCCAGGCTGGAGCCCAACAGTGCAGACCCGGAGAACATCACCGAAATGTGAGTTCTTTGCTCTCCTCGAACCGCCCCCCCACCATGGGCTCACTGGCCGGGTGGGTCCGGGCCAGGTCGTGGTGCTGGGCCATTGCCCCGTTACCTGTCTTATTTCCCCCAGCGGGAGCCTGTCTAGCACGGGCGAAGTGGGACACTTTCAGATAAGTTTTTAGGTATATATGTCAAGCTTATTTTTTAAAAAATCTATCTCTCTCTCTATATATATGCACTTATATTCCTGGTGGGAAGGCATCCCATAAGGTATTTTATATTCCAAAGCTGTGCTGGGCTGTGCTTTGGCTTTCCCCTTTGCTGTAAGTTTGCTTTGGACGCCTTTAATTCATGGAGCGCCACTGGGACGGTGTGTTAGGCAGGGTCCCAGAAATATGCATGAGAAAGGAGGTGAAAATTATGAAGTTTCTGACGTCTCCGGGAGTCTCTTGCCTTCACCTCTTTCTCTGAGGGTTGGAGTTCATCAGTTTCCCTTTGGAATCTCCTGGAGCAGAGATGGCCTTGCAAATGATCTGTAAGAGCAGTCCTGAGTGTGGAGTGCGGTCCTTGGGAGCCTGAGAGCCTTACTCTGGTTTAATTTGGAGCTGATTGTTTTTTCTTTCCCAGAGACCATTTGGGTGGGGAATCTTAATTGCCCATGGAATAAGCCCCTAGGTTGGACCAGAAAGCAGGGTGTAGTCTTTGATGAGTGCTGTCTCCCACCTGGGGCCCTGGAAGAGTCTGACTGCATGGGGCAGCAGAGATGTGTGTTTCTGTCCCCTCCCTACCTGGCTCCCGAACAGGAGCTCACCGGTCCTGTCGCCTGCTGTCCTGTGCTACCTCTCCTAGCGATGGATGGCGCTTTACCATGGCCTGTATTTTGTGACCCCGAGGTTTCATCTGTCCCCTGGAAGGGAGAGGGAGGCAAAGTTTGTGCCGGTTTTCCTGACCGAGGCTGGTGTTCAGCCTTTGAGGAGGGCTCGGGCTGTGGCCTTCCGGTTGGCGAGTGCGCATGCATGTTCCCCCACCCCCACCCCCACCCACCCCACACACAGAACAGGCACAACCATGGTTCCTGCAGCCTAGGTGATGGAGATAACCTGTTTTGTACTGTAAGTAAGAGACCGGACTGGTCCCCGTTGCCTGTTCCGCTGGTAACGAAAGGCCCAGGGCTGAAACCACAAGACAGCTTAGTCTTCTTGGCACAGTGCTCAGCGGCCAGGCAGGAGAGGAAGGGTAGGGCCCCCACTGTGCTGGCCCTGCGCCGGGCCCAGTCGGGGTTCAGCAGGCTGAGCCAAAGTGTCTGTGGCCTTTGTCGGAATCGGTGTGTCTTTTTCAGGAGATGGGGCGTCAGGAGTCAGATGGAGGGGGCCGCACAGAGTTCAGAGATTCGCAGCGTGCATGGACACAGTTAGTACTATTCTTAGTACTATTCTGTTTTGCTTTTGGTGTGGTTGGTTTTGAAATCCTGTATAAGATGATAGATGTATAATGAAAGAAATGAGATAGGGCTAATCAATCATTTTCACTTCACTTTTTTTTTTTTTCACTTTAAGGCCATCAGCTTGGAAAAAAAAAAAAAAGAAAAACTGTCTTTAAATTGAAAAAAAAAATTGTTTCAAACCTGCCTGGTATTTTCTGCCTGATATGAGAACTCAGTAGATTAGAACAGAGCTTTCCTTTACCTGTTCTCAAAACAAACATTTTGTTGCTTCTCTCGTATCTGATGGTCAGTGATTTTCAGATGGAGTTAAAAAAAATTGACTAAGTGTTTGTCGGAGTCAGTCATTCTATCACGCCACTCCTAATTTCTACTCTGATTTTTTTTTTCCTTTTTGATTTGAAAGCCCAGTAGGACTGGGGGAGTTGAGAGGTGTGTAGGGCTGGGTGTGCAGGATTGAGGAATTAGTTTGGGAAAATGAGGCAGGCTGGGAAATGGAGCCTCCACAGGAAGTGTGCTCCTCTACCCTGTCCCCTCCAGCCGCTGGGTGTCCTGCCACCTTCCTCTGTAACACCCATGGCCGTGCTTGTTGGCAGAGCCCTTCGTCGAAGTCTTTTGAATTCTGCTTTTTTTTGATCTCCAAATGACATCAGTAGATGAGCTGGTTTCGCTGTCATACTTGTATGACACCATCTGTGCTCCCTTTCTTACATATTAATATTTGCTGGAACAGCTTTTAAATTCTTGGCCAGTGGGTACCAGCTACAGTGGGAACCAAAGTACACATTTTTTTTTAAACTTTGTTATTAGTCCCAGTGGTGTTCCTAAAATAACCTGTTTTAAAGTTCTGGTTTAATGGTGTGGAGCTGAAGTTGCAGCTTTCGGATTTTTTGAACAGGGATAATGTAAATAAATCGACTGTGATGGGCAAAGTGGGGATTTGCTGAAGCCACAGTTGACTGTATCATTGAAACTTAGTTCTTGCTTTATTATAGATATCTAATCTCTATCTGGAACCACTGTACCCAGTGGAAAGACATTCAAAAAATAGGTGCCCAGATTAATCAGGAGGTAGTTAGGTACATTGTTATGTGCAGATTTTTTTTTTTTTAGAAAGATGTATTTATTTATTTGAAAGTCAGAATTACAGAGAGAGAAGGAGAGGCAGAGAGAGAGAGAGAGAAAGAGAGAGAGAGAGGTCTTCCATCTACTGGTTCACTCCCCAATTGGCCACAACTGCCAGAGCTGTACCAATCTGAAGCCAGGAGCCAGGAGCTTCTTCTGGGTCTCCCACGCAGGTGCAGGGGCCCAAGGACTTGGACCATCTTCTACTGCTTCCCCAGGCCATAGCAGAGAGCTGGGTGGGTGGTGGAGCGGCTAGGACTCGAACTGGCGCCCATATGGGATGCCGGCACTGCAGGCAGCGGCTTTACCCGCTATGCCACAGCGCTGGCCCCTATATGCAGATTTTTAGCTAATCTGACCATTTGCTGTCAGCCTCATTGCTGGAATTTATTTTATTAAAAGTCTCCCCATCACAGTTCTTGTCTTGTGCCCTTTGCCCACTAACGTGCTAGATCTCCGTCTGTGTCTCTCTTATCTGTAGAGATATCTCATATCTGCCCAGCAACTGCACTGCTGAAGTGACAGCTTTGGAAATGATTAGAACAGGGCAGTGCTAAATGGAAGTTAAAAACAGTCCCAGTGTCACGTGTAAGTGGCATTCAAGAGTGAAGCCCGTGGCCCAGAGTTATGTAACAGGCCATGGAGGTCCCAGTTCCCTCCAGTGCCAGAGTGCGTTGCAAAAGACAAGTTCTGTGCATCCACATTATAAAAGGCATGGCTGAAATAAATTGTGCATTTATTTCTGTATGTGCTGACAAACACGTAACGTAAAATGCCCCATCTTAACCATTAAGTGCACAGTTCAGTGGTGCTGAGTCTAGCGACATGGCTAGGGGAAAGGCTGCAGTTTTATAAGTACATGTTTTAGACGAGTCTTTTCATGAATTTCTGGGTGACATTCACCAATTTGGGGGAGTGATATTGGGGAAAATTTGACACTTTTCCGCTTAGCACACATAAGTAGAATTTGCAGCTTCTACTGTCAGAGCGCCTCTACGTGCAATTTATTGTTGGCCTGGTTAAGCAGCTGTAATGTTAGGCCATTAATACATTGATTTTGGCCCTCTCACCTTAATAAGCTTTGCCATCGTGATTAATCGTACTTTAAAAAAAAAAAAAAAAAAAAGCAACCCTGGCATTGACAAGGATCCAGCGAGAGGCCTCCGTTTTTATTACTCTGCTGTTTATTTCTGAACGCCTCCGCTGGGGGTTCTGGGACTTTGGTTGTGCTTTATATGCATTTAAGAACCATGCATTTAAATGTCGAGTGTGGTTACATAAGCCACACTGGACTTGTTAATAAATAAGGCAGTCTAATTTACATCATTCATTATTTAATGCAGTTTGCAAGCCAGAGCTGAAAACATGCTGGCTTCAGAGTGTGGGTTCTTACAGCGCTCAGCGCAGCCCAGCCACGTGGTGTCTTTTCCATCTCGTACTTTCCATCTCCGCAGTATGGAGAATTTTTTTTTTTTTACATGGAGTACAACAATTGTCCCCGTGACCTTTCTGACCCCACTTTATCCCTCCTCCCCCCCCCCCCCCATCATTGACAATACAGGAAAATGTGTTTGCTTTTTTTTTTCTTTCTGTGAAAAGTGATATTTCCTTGTGGGAATTCAGAACACTAGAGTTAAGAGAATTGCCTGGCTTATATGTTGCTACAAGCAAGTAATGGGAGGTTGACACCACGTGGTCGAAGCTCCTTAGCGCCGAGTGTAGTCTGTTTAAGGTCTTTCACTGGTCCTCTGCTTGTGTCTACTTCACTGCTCCCTTGTAAAGACTTTGTCTGAGCTGAAGAATTGGCCGAACAGCTGAGAGTGGAGGTCCCTTTTTCCCTAGGAACATTCTGTATGATCTCTTTGACTATATCTAGGTCATAGGACTGGAAAACCTAAGAGTGTTTGTTTAGCTGGGGAAGGGGATTTGAATTTCTTTTCTTTTTTTTTTTTTCCTTCAGTCCAAAGCAAGTGTCTCCAGTTTTAACTCATCACTCATCTTGCCTGTTTGTTAGGGAGTGAAATATTATCACACCATTATGGGATGCTGTATGCTTTGATTGTCCTTCAGGGTCACCATGGCACTCTCTCCAGAGAGCTCCATGTAGGTTCAAAATGCCAATTTTTGGGTCCCTCTTGATGCCTGTAAATCAATGGGAGGATTTGTAGGAGAGATTGTTTAGCCACAGCAAACTTTTTACATGCTTGATATGTGTATGAGAGAGAAGAGAGAAAAAAAAAAAAAAAACAAAAACAAAAGCCTGGACCTTGGACTATTAATAGCTGATTGATCATTTTCATAATCTACTTGGTCAAACTATTTTAAAACACAAATCCCACCCCACCCCACCCCCAACCTCTCCTCAGATGGCAGTAGTCTGAGCCCTGCAGTGGCCTGATAATTTTAGCTGCACATCTGATTGCTGATCGATCGCCATTAAAAAAGGCAA